TAAAAAAAAAAGTGCACTACTGAAGTCAGACAACACTATGGGCATTCTGTTCTACAATGTATAATAGAATAGCACTAACAAAAATAATTTGAGGGGAGATGGCAGACTTGGTAAACCAAAACGGACAAAATACTGGACAAGGACCACAGAAAATATCTCACCCTGGACAGGCTCTTCTGGAGTTGAACAACAACTATCAGAGTTTTCAGAATTTGCAGAGTTTGCAGAGTTTTCGGACTTGTCACTGCTTACAGCTTCTGTACAATAGAAGAAAAAGATACAATCATTATGATATGAATTCCAACAAAAAACCAATACTAGTACTGTCAATGAATATTAAAAGCTCACACCAAATTTGCAATTACTGTTTTCCATGAGGTAAACATCACAAAACTGCCAGAACTAAGTAAATTGAGTAATATTCAAATTATATGCAAATTGAACACCTGCAAACCATTTCAAGCTGTGTCATTGACTGGACTGTCTTATCTGTTAGTGCTATTTGTCAATTGCTCATACTTGTGTGATTTGCATACAGTTGACAATCAGCATATAGTTATCTGCAGCCAATTAGAAAGTATTGCAGTAAAATTGAAAAGTACATTACTCCCACAGTACAGACATTAATCATAAGCTGACCTCTCACCTGGTGTTGACTTTGACTCATCCTGACTAGTAGGTGTTTCACATGGCTCAGCTTTTTCATTTATAGGGTTGTTCTGATCATTATTATCACCACCTACAAATAAAATGCTGTTAGTGCTTTGAATTCATACAGAAACCGAACACAACTCATATGCATATTATAATGCAGTTGTCTTTGAAGTTAATTTCCTAAAAAAAGTGCAATAACCCCACACCTGTTTTTAAAATGGTTAGTGTAATGTAAGTAGGGAGTTGTGCTAATACAATCTCTTCAAAATAGTATGAATGTGGATAGTGAAAACTATCTCTACTGGGCCTTGATTGGGGGAGAATGACAGGTGAGAGTGATCATTCAACTTAGAAAGCAAGGTCTGAATGATTAGATAATTGACTGTTCTGTTCTGGTGATCTCTTTTTTGGAGAAATTCACCAAAACAATTTTGTTGTCAATTGCATTCTAATAAGTAATATATGTATATGCCCAGAATTATGATTTTTACATCACAACCTCTGCTGCAATACAACAAAATAATTGTAAATTAGCAATTTAGAAATTTTAAAACAATTTTCATTTCATTACAATCTTTTTATGTATATGTTTCAGTGTTCTACTCAGACTTCATGTCAAGCATCATGGTCAATTTGCATTTATGCAGCTAAACTAACTGAAAACACATGTTTTAGAAGATAGAATGTGTGACTTGAACTTGTACAGTGTATTTCAGGATGTTATCCAAATATAATTTTTTTTACATTTTCCTTTGTCTGCAATATAATCCTTAGTTTCGGCAGTCACAACAGACCATTTACAAGTAAATGTACATAATAAATCTGAATTAATTCCTGACTTCTGTGGACAATTTTTATGGCTAAAAAATAGCCAAGGCATGTCTCATAGAAAAACTGTTGTAGAAATCAATGACAATCAAAAGAGGTGATATGGTAAATAATGATTTTGAGCATGGTGGCATTTTCATGCTTTTAGCATCTGTACTTTGCAAGTCTTCGACACTAGGGATTTTAATTAGAGCCGACACGTTACATAGTTTACACCATGAGACAATGAGTTATGAAGTATCGTAAAATCTGTATCAGAAGCCGCATCTCTAATATAAGTTGCTACCATTCCTTTTGAACAATTGAGAACCAAACATTTACCATTTCTCACATGTGTAGATGTTCTAATAGAAGCTGCATCCCCTCTGTTGCATTGTACCATGTTAATAGAAGCCACAGCTTCTAATACAGATTTTACAGTACTGCCTGTGATTGGGTCAAATGGATTTAAACAATGCAAACATGGTGGTCAAGGCTCTAGCATGAATGTTGTGTTGTACTGACGCAATTCTTCGGAAATTCCCGAAGACTTTCCGGTGACGCAATGCGGAAGTGAATTATCGATGTCGAAGTACGATCTGTTGGAATTGATTTCAGCGAATAAACGACATGGTTTTTCAAAAAAACTAGTAACTAGCCGTTTTTGAGAGGAAAACTGAATATGGCATGTAATATTCACCGCATTTTACTTGTATTAACAGGTCATTGTCGAAGCGTAGTTTACACACGGTTACCGTGTTCTACGCATTCACAACCTATTCACAGCGGTCGATATCCACACTGTATCATATAATAATGATTACCAAGATTCGTTACGCAAGACCAAGTTTTAAATTAGTTGCATTTTGAAGGGATGGGCGCTTTGCCGAATGTGACCCCAAATATAAAAATTGTGCAAAAGTGGGGGGTGGGCGCTTGCCCGGGCATGGGCGCTAACGCGGTCGTCGGTATTGTTCATATGTTGTATGGCAAACTATGTTGGCAAGCACTGCATATTTATTTTTTTGTACTAGCTAACAACTTGTTCATATAACAAGCATTTTGTTTTGTTTTCAATAACTTGATAAAGAGTTATTAGTAAAGTAAACAATTTTTCACTATTAATTTTATTTAAGTATGACTTGAGTGGTATTTTATAAAAACATATGCATGGCTGAAAAGTCAACATTCTGCACAACTTAAGGCCAGAAAAAGTGAATGAAAGTTCCCTGAACCACAAATAGCATATTTTTATTTGTCTTAATGTTTGTCAACCCATGTTGCACAACAACAAGAAATCACTTGACATTAACACAAGATAACATCTGAAGAGATGACAGAATCACAAAGAAAATACATGGAACCAGTTTTTTATTGTCAGTCACAGGACCAGAATGCTTTCAAGCCTGAAATTGTTGAAATCATGAGTAATTTTTATATCAGCTAATTTGAAACAGTTTTCTTCCATTGTGAAATAGGGTTGAGATTTATGAGACAATGAAACCAACATGGTACCAGTTCATCACAATGATATATATACAAATAAAACCTTGCTAATATGTTTGAAGTACAAGTCGGTAGTCTTATGTTATGATTTAGTTGTATAATAAATGTACAGTGGTTCATGTATTTACACGTATATGTAATATTTCAATACACAATACTTTGGGGAAAAAAAACAATAATTGTAATTCAATAAGTGTGAATATTACTAAAAAAGGAAACGTGTGCAATATCTACATTGACATCAGGAATTATTAAAACGAAAGAATCATTGATTGTAGAATTATGGTTTATTCACCAAGCACAAGAAATCGGGTATATGTACAATCGTCATGAAATTTGCTTTATCCTGTGCGTAAACGCCGAATCATCAACACCACTTATTTTACAATATGGCCGCATTCAATCGCCTCCGCCAAACTCTGTCAGACTGTCTAACATGATCACGTTAGCACAATATCTATTACCACTTTTTACTGACACATCACGACAAAACTACATACCTGAACCTGACGACTGTTTAGACCCAAAAGAAGGCACGAACGCAGGGGCATTTATGTTAGTACCGGGAACGAATGGCGTAGCGTGCACATTAAGTCCTGTTAACTGATCACTTAATTGAAGACTTTCGTCTTGATCTCCGGGCCCAGGGTCTTCCTGTTGATCCCAACTGTCCAATTCACCTTCCTGGTTAGCCTGTGGATCCATCTTTCGATGAAAATTTGAATATTTTGTAATAAATATACCTGGTTTTACAGCTGCAACTATCCCTACCTCCTCAATTTTCAACACCGCGTGGAAATGATGACGTCACGCGCATGCGCAGATTGTTTATTGCGCCAGACTTGTTGGCCACGACAATCGACAAAGTATTGGTTTGTTGTTTTTATTTAAGAAACCCCATTTTGAAAAATGATTTATTCATTTTACTGGAGATACTACTCATGAAACATTTTCTATAACATTGCTAGTGACTGCCTCGTAGTGTCTGGTGAGTGGTCAGTGTGCGTTCTAAGTGTTCGAGTCCACAGCTGATCATCATGGCGGACGGAAACGTTTTGTTGTTGTATGTCGATGTTTATGTTTATCCTTATTTTACGTATTATTTCTAGATCAAGGACAAGTAATTTTTTTGAACCTGTCTTCCTGGAGAAGTAACCATTTGGCAATGCAATTTGTCATTAGAAGTTGAAATCTTCCAGTTGGCGGTCCTACGGTCTAGCGCCCAGGAGGTGGCTAAGACATCTATAGTATCTGCGTCAAATTGACTGATCATTATGGATAAACTTACTGTTATATCTGGATTTTTGTTTTTTGCGGCCGATGTGTTTGCGATTGCAAGTTTAGCCAACCCAGAGTGGATCATTACAGACGAGGCTGGTGAGTGGCACACCTGGTTATATACCTTCAGGCCCATAACTCGAATCCTAACCCTGCCCCTCCCTTGTCCCCTCCATACCCTCCCTACATTTTAATTGTATATGCCCCCCTTCAGGACAAGTATATATAGTTATCTGGAGGGGCATGTACATTTAATTTGGTTGATTGAAAGGTTACGGCGCAGTACCTCTTTGCCAGAGGCATTGTGATTAGGGTTAGGGATATAGATTATGGGTGGTGGCACGTTTTTCAAATTCATGTACATGTATCATGCAATGCAATGAAGATCTCCTGAGAAGTGAGCTCTCCTGTTTTGCTAATGTGAGATTTTGTTTTGTGGGCGTCAAATCAAATTTAGTTCTAACCAATAGCATCTCAGATTGCAGTGGGTTCCTGAATGTTTCAATTGCGTATACAGAATAAATAACAACACTACCAAAAATACAAATGAATACAAACCAGAGCGTTCACAGACTCACTAATTTCCATTAGGATTTCCAGAAATGTAAATTTTTCTTTCGATTTTGTGATCATATCACAATTCACATAGATTAATGTGTATAGACAAACATTTAATAATAGTTTATAAAATTGTATGCATATTAATTAGATAATTTGCATACTGATAACATGTAATTGTTATCAGCATTTTTCTGTATTATATTATATTAATGAAAGAAAAAAGTTGTTCATAGTATCAAACATCCTTGAACAAGAAAACTCTTTCATTAAGAGTGTGCTTGTAGATTTGAATTAATCTGCTCAAATTATTTGCATAGTTTGCAATTAATTAACACACAGGAGCACATTCTGTAGTTCATGTTTGGTTTACAAAAGTCATAATAATCAAGCATTTTCGCCAATTCAGAATCAAATCTTGATCGTGTGTATAAACATTCAATTACATTCTGGCACCTTGATGCACAGCATTTTGGTTTTTGAAACAAATTCAAAATGGCCAATTGGCATTTTGTTTTAATGAATGTTGTTCCCAGGCCAAACCTCTCTGACATGCCAACATATTAAACTGGAAAACATACTTGTATTAGAAAATGGGGGAAATACATTGTACCTACAAATATTTGGCCCAGTCATGTTATTCGTGACAGAAAAATGTAAATGATTTTGTTTTCCTTCCCGAATTCCTCAAAATACTTTCCTAATGACTGCAATAAAACATGATTAAATAAAAAAAAAATCTGTTTCTCTTATTCAATGTTTGAAAATAAAGTATGACATTGCACAATACTGCAATTATAATGATTTATCCTATATAAATGTACGCTTGATGACACAGAACTAACTACCACACCCACACATGGAAATTAATAATTGTTCTATCTGACAGTTGAGAACCAATTTAAAGAGACTCGTGTTTGAGAGACGAATGAAATGTATCCAATAAAATGTGAAGCACCATTTCACAGAATGAATTTCATCTAATCGATGTATCAGCCCATATTAGAACAAGTTAATTTGTAAATGAACAACTTTGCCAGAATAATTAATAAATAAATAATAAAATATCATAACATTTGCAGGTGAGGTGCGTATTGGTCTCACATGGCAATGTCAAACCATATATGGGCGTGAACCAGTGTGTACAGGGCCTCGTTTATCACCAGAGTGGATGACTACATTATTTTTCATATTACTGGGAGTCATTTGTCTAACTGTTACTTGGATACTCCTCATTGTGTCACATTGGAAACCAGTAGTTTTGAAATATGCAAGATGGATAGCATTTGTTGGAAGTAA